CCTGTATTTTATATGTATTTGTACCGTACATATTTGTATTTTTACTCCTTCCAAACTGAGCCTAAGGTGCACGCATGCACATGTGATGCAAGTAATAAAGCTGAAACAAAATTCAAATGAAAAATAATTTTGAAGTGAAAGAAAGCAATAACCCCACATTAACGAAAACAAAATAAATATCTTTGAAACCAACGAGATTACCACTTGGCATACAATTAGTTTTCCATTTCAACTTAAACATAAAGCTTTGATCAAACTCAAAACATATCAATTATAAATCAAGAAATAATTCAAAGAAAACTGCTTCGACAGCTATTACTAACAACGAATTGAATGCATAGTTAGGAGTAAGTAGCTAAGTAGAACCTAAGAGCACTTTCTTTTCTAGGAGGAATTATTAGTTTATTACAAACCAGAAGACGGATAAGATAGAATACATTTAGGGGCTGTTTGGCAAGTCTTTCTAGGTAGATCTTTCAACAGCCCAATAGGCAAGAAGATGCACTAAGCTTTTGGGGTATTGTTCTTGAATATCAAGACTAGGGGTGAGTATTATTCGGTTAAAACTGAACCGAAAATTTTGGTTTTGGTTTTGGTTTTGGTTTTTTCAGTTCGGTTATTTCGATTTTTGGTTAATTCGATTCGGTTTTTTCGGTTTTAAAATATTTTGGTTTCGATTTTGGTTTTTAGAATTAGATTCGATTAATCGAAAAAAAAATCAAATTAACCGAACTTTGCTATATAGCATGTAATATATAATATATAACATATTATATTTAATATATAATATATTTATATATATTAATATATAATATAATAAAATTTAATTTCATAATATATATTTATATATTATATGCTATGATATATATAATATATAGTATAGTATATATATTTTCGAAATTCAGTTTTAACTGAAATAACCAAAAACCGAACCGAAAATTTCAGTTTCGGTTCGGTTTTCATTTTTCTAATTTGGTTTTTTAAATTTTGGTTTATCCGATTTGGTTTTAAATCGAATGCTCACCCCTAATCAAGATTGTTTGGTTCACATCATGGTCTAGTGGGCTGTTAAAAACAGTTGGGAAGGCTATTTTTAGCATGGAAAGACCAAAAGCTTCATTTGAAACTTCTCGATTCTTGACATTTTCAATCTTTCTATATGCTTGTCTTCAGGTCTTTCAGTCTATATGATACCAAACAAAAAAAAAAAAAAAAACATTTTTTGGTTTTTTGAACTAAATTGAAAGACATGCTGAAAAGATGCATCAAATACCACCTTAGATGGCCATGGTAGGCAAATGCTTAGACCATGGTTGAGAACTAGACATGTTCATGGGCTGGGCTTTCACTCTTTATTAATAGATTTTTTTAAGGCCCAAGCCCGGCCTAACCATTGGGTCTATAACTTGGGCCTAAGCCCGACCCTCATAAAAAGCCTAAAGCCCGGGCCTGGACCCGAGCCCAAACTCTAATGCTCAACTTGTTGCCGCTGCTATCGCTGAAGCAGCGAGAGAGAGAGAGAGAGATTAAAAAGAAAAAAAAATAAAAAATGTATATATTAAATTATTAATATATATTATAACAAATATTATATATTTTATATTATATAAATTAGTCGGGTCGGGCCTAACTTTTTTGACAAATCCCGAGCCCCGCCTTAAACACAATCGGGCTTGGTGTTTTGGGCCCGAGGTCAGGTCCGCGGGCCTAACTACATGCCCTAGCCCAACTGGGGTGCGGGCCAAACCATTGGGCTACTTGGCCCATGAACAGGTCTATTGAGAACCCAAATAGAAAGATGAAGGAAGAAGAGGAATCATGCAAGAGAAAGAGGTGTTTGGTCTTTGGGCAAGGAAAATTCTTGAGTGAGATTTTAACAAAGGGGCATTTTGGTATAAACATTAACTTTGTACAGCTCATGGTTTTCAAAACCGAACCGGACGGTCGGACCAGAAAAACTGGGAACCAATCAGGTGACCGGTTCCGTTTTCTCCAAAAACCGGATTCCCCCCAAAATCATTGATTTTGGTCAGCGAACCGTTGAATCGGGCGGTTAACCGTTCGAACAGTTTTGACCGCTTTTTTTTTGTCAAAACGGGCCAAGCATTTGGTTCGAACAGTTTGACTGTTCGACCTGGTAACTAGACCCTTGACCGGTTTGGTTTTAAAAACCATGGTACAACTAACTTGGTTTGTAATTTGTTATTTTGTTTTTTATATATATATATATATATATATATATATATATATATATATATATATATATATATANTATATATATATATATATATATATATATATATATATATAAATTAGAATGATTAATGGCTCTTCGTTGAACACCCTGATTTTTACTTCCAATTTTACCCCTATTAATAATACAAATTTATTATCTCATCTCATTATTCATTATTAAAAATTTGAATGATCAATGGCTCTTCGTTGAACACCCATATTTTTATTTCCAAATTTACCCCTATTGATAATACAAAACAGCCAAACTAACATATACCCCATTATTTAAAAATTTTAAAAATAAGAAAATTATCTTTTTTTTTTGTAGAACACCCTCATTTTTATTTACAAAAAATGAGAATGATTAATGGCTCTTCGTTGAACTCCCTGGTTTTTACTTCCAAATTTACCCCTATTAATAATACAAATTTATTATCTCATCTCATTATCTACATTATTAAAGATGAGAATGATCAATGGCTCTTCATTGAAACCCAAATTTTTATTTCCAAATTTACCCCTATTAATAATACAACTTTGAATAGGTTGACAACCAATCTAGCAAATTCACAAGTTTCTATTTTACCCTTATATACAAGAGAGACAAGTGCCCTAAAAAGATGAATACGTGGACATCGAAATTCTCCACGTAATGGTTACCCTATTAAGGTAGTCATAATGTTGGTTAAATTTTTATCAAATATCAATGTGGTTGAACCATGGTTACTTGACCGGAAAAACCGGGAATCAGTCAAGTGACCGGTTCCGTTTTACCCCAAAACCATTATTTCCCCCAAAACTATAGATTTGGTCAGCAAATCGCTGACCCGAGGAGTCGAACTGTTCGAACCGTTCAATGGTTTGGCCGATTTTTATTTTTTTATTTTTTTTTATTTTTTGTATTTTTTGTCAGAACGGGTCATTTGACCTGGGAACTGGACCCCTGACTGGTTCGTTGTCTGGGTTGGTTTTAAAAACCTTGGGCTGAACAACTCTCACATTACTTTGGATTGTTTTCATGATATTAAATGGAATCAAATCATCATGATAAGTTCAAAGTTTCTCCTTCAAGGATAAACTTAATTGATAAGTTGAATGGATGTATCTCCCCATTTTTAACAAAAATGTGATCATATTTATAAAAATCCTCCAAATTTGAACCTAAATAGGGGTGTAGTATGTTATAGGATTTGAATGCTATTTCGTTTTATTTGGATACACAATCAATTTAGAATCCAAAATAAGAAGAGCTCAACAAAGTAGTTAGTTTATTAATTTTTTTTTATTTTGTCTAAAATTCTAAATTTTGATTTAACTTGCACTCTCTTTTGGTTTATCTTTTATGCTTATTTTTTTGGTTAATTTGTTTTGGGTGTATAGCAGTTTATATGAAGAGAAAAGCTGATTATACAACCCTATAACTTGCAACTGAGATAGTGGTTCAATTCTTCACTTTTAAATAGCTTTGGAAAGACTACTATTTCTGTTTTGACATGGTCGTTTTGGGCTAGTCTATAAGGAATGCTTTTGGATGGAAGGAACACCGCTATTAAATTTATAGACCAAACAAGAAAACAAGAAGAGGAGTTTATTTTTTTTTTTTTTGGTAATGAAGAGGAGTTTAAATTAGAGAATGATCGAAAATATTTGAACTTACATTTTCCATTTGTGTTATTTTTTCATGCTCAATTGTTAGGTAAGTCATTTTCGTTATGTTCACTTGCTAGCTTAGTAGCTTTGATTGATTACTATTCAAATAATGATTATAATGCTAAAGTTGGATTATAAATTCATAGTGAATTTAGTCATTATTGTTGTTGTCGAGTTGTTTTGTGTATTACTTTTTTGGTACTTGAAAATCAATTCTTTTTTTTTTAAATCACTTCAATTCAAGAATGTTATTTTGACTAGCTAGGGGTGTTCATTATATGGTTCAAATCGCAAAACTGAATTGAACCAAACCAAGTTTGCGGTTTGGTTTGGTTTATACCTATAACTGGTTTGGTTCGGTTTGAGAATTTTTCTAAATTACGAATTACAGTTTTGGTTTGGTTTATTTAATTTTATAATCTGAACCAAACCATAAACTGTAAACCTAAATATTATATATAATATATCTAAATGGAATACATAAGACTATAAATATATAACGTACGTTTTATTTTATAATAAATAATAAATACAAGTTTTTAAGTTTTAATTTTTAGGGGTGCTATTTGGGCTTTCTAATTGGGTTAAGCCCAAAAGAGCATAGAATGGACCAAAGTCCCCAAACCGTATTAGAAACTTCACCAAACTGTAATAAAACGGTTTGATTTGGTTTTCATACCAAAACGGTTTGATTTGATTTAGAAAATTTTCAAACCATAATTTACTAGTTTGGTCTAAGATTTTCTCCAAATCGCACTGAACTGGACCGTGAACACCCTAATTTTGGCAACTGAAACATATACGTGCAATGCACGTGCACCCCCTCTAGTATATAGAAAAAGATATTTTTACATAAAAATATTTGTTCGGACGGGCTTGGGTTCGATTGGATAGGGATTGGGTCAGGCTCGTGCCGTCCAAAGCCCCAACCCAAGCCCAACCCAAGTTAACATCAGGCCCGAGTTTTCTGGGCCAAGGCCCAGCTTGAGCCTTGAAGCCCAAGAACTCGGGCCAAAACCGTGAGTTCGTGTTGGGTCGGTTCCGCATCGGGTTGGGCCCGCCCACGTTGCAGCCCTCCTTTTTTGGGTTCTATCTTCTATGAAGCTTCTGGAATTGAAGGATCGCGGCCGAGAAGGGGAAACAAGCATTCTGCAGACCAGGGAACCGACGAACAGAAAAGGCGTTCGACAAGGAAGGTTCGTTTATTTGAGGTATTTCTTGCTAAGTTAATCTCCCCTTCAATCTCTCCTTCTCTGTTTTTGATTTATTTTCGAGTGAGTTGTTCCCTTAAATAAAAGTTTCTTCCACCAAAAAAAAAAAATATCGATTTGATCAGCGTTAAACCATGGATCCATAGAAGTTTCCTATAGCTGATTCTTTAAATCTTGTTTTTATATGATTTGGTTGCTTCTATTGGCAGCTTGTTATCCTTGAAGAGATTCATGGGCTTTAGCTAAATTAGTGTTTTTGCAACACATTTTAATCTTGATGTCTGCTCGATGTTTTTCCTAATTATTTATTTCTGTTGTTATGAACAAGATTCAGGCTGGCAGTATTCTTCCATCGTTATTTTGTTTTGTTCGTATAACAAGCTTGTTCTTTTATTTTCTTTTCAATAAAGAGCTAAATATTTACCTTTTTTTTGATCAATCTGAATATTTACCTTTCTTGAATCGATGGTCGAAAACAGCTTCAAAGATGATTCATTCATTATTTAGACTATTATCTTCTTGGATCGATACTGTTCTTTCTTTTCTGTTTTGTTTGTAGTAACAAGGGCCTTTTTTTTGGATGGATACAAACTGAAATGGCGAATAGTGAAATAACGATGAAATAACGAAAATATTGGTGGTGAATGATCAATTCTTCATTAAACTTCCATACCAGCTTTTAAAAGAAAAAAGATAGGGAAATGAAGAATTTTTGGCTGGCGGGCTCGATGCTAGTCTTTACATTCTATAATTATAAAACGTTAGTATCCACTTGGAGGAGTTGAATTTATTTTCTAGGAAGGTTTTATATATATATGCTGCAGCTGTCAAGCATTGTGAATTATGACTTAAGGTTCTTGGGCTCTACAACATTACACGAGGGGAGGTAAGAAGACAAGGTTCTTGGCTTTCCGGATGAACATCTCGTTCAGATGGATTCCAAGACCAGTGAATTTACCAGGAGATGACATAGAGTCATAGACAGGAGTTATGGTTGTCTTTTGTGATCACTGCTCAGAAAGTGTTTCATGGATTATTAGGATTTTATCAAGGTATTTGTTCTTGGAGTCAGTTGGGTTTTTGGATTTTGATAGGGGGGAAAGTTGGTCAATGGGATTTTGGTTCCCATTGACCAAGATAATTATGTTTTTTTTTTTCAGATTTATGTGGGATCCATGGAAAATTTATTCGGAGAAGTACGCTGCAGCCCACTGCAGAATGCTGAACTCCACTGCAGACCTACAACAATTCAAAATGTCAAATACCCCCACCCTATGCACCAATGCCCGCCCGTGAATTGGCATCAACTCTGAGCTGGCACCTACCCCAACTGTACGGTGGGGCTAAAAATTCTGACGCTGGGCTGAACTGTCATTATCTCAAATTTATTTCCCTGGGTATCACTTACCCAGGTGGGTAAGTTACAACACTTGGATGGGACAAAATGGCCCCTTTTAATAATGATTTTTAATGGATAAAATGGTCATTGCCTTATTTACCTGAGAAATAGAAGAACACGGGTAAATGCATTTACCTGGGTAAGTTTTTCTTGGGAAATACTTACCTGGGTAAGTACCCTCCCAAAAAGCGAACAGGGCCTTGAGCAAAATACAAAGGATTCTTAAATTCTGAGTTTTGACATACTTATACAATCTTTTTAGTAAGCATTGTGACATGCTTATGTTAATAAACCACCTTGATCATTGTTACAGAAAATGTACTTTCTTTTCTTCACCAACTATATGAAATGCACATTTCCTTAATTGTGAAAATGATACAACTTCAGATATCTTTTCTTTTGTTTTGCTAAGTGGCACTAAACTATAATGCAATTAAATTTAAATATTCCATTTAGTAATACAATACTTCTCAGCAGAAGTGAAATGTTGTGGATAAGGACTGCTGTTCTTATCTCTCCAATGGATTAATCCTTCTACATGTATAAAGTTTTTTTGTCACCACCATATTTTTCTTCTTTAATCTTGCCCCACTCCCATCTCCTCTCTCCAGTAATCATAGTCATTGTATTAATGTATTTGTCCTTTCTTGTTGAATACCAAGGAAGCAGATGCAAGAGTGGCAACAATTTCTGCAACTACATTAAAGTTCAGGGTGTTTCTATCAATCTTGAAAACACTTCTTGGAGTATCAATGTATTCAGGTTTTTTCTCAAATGAAAAGTCCTTGTTAACATCACCAACCTGTAACAGAACCCAAAACCACCTTCATTCTCTTCATTCCTTCTTATCTTCTTCTACGAGTCCAGTGGAAGAAATGTTTGGAAGGATAATCAAATAGAAGTCATATTAATGATCAATTGATAAACAGAGAGGACATTAACAAGTACAGAGCAAAACAGAGGATAGTGGAAAACACAAACTCAATACACACCTGAACATAAATGGTATTGAAATGAACAATGGCTTTGAGAAGGTAATTAATAGCGCAACGAATGGCCACCCTTGCATTCTAAAACTTCTTTTTTGAAGAATAAAGAGAAAATTCATTAAAAGAAAGCGAGAATACAAAAGGAAGGTGACAAGAAATCACTTGAGAAAAAAAGAAAAAACAGGCGTTAATACAAACTTACAACCAACGACATCGGATTACAAAATCATTTAAAAAAAAGAAACTAAAGCACCAATTTCGGACACCTACACCCACCTCCACAAACTTCGAGACTTCTCAGGATCCAGACATCCAACTCCAACTCCCTAATCCTCCCCCTCAAATGATTCCTCCTGCCTATCATCATCCTCATCCCATGTGATGCAGGAGCTGATGAGTCAAAATTAGAATTTTATGAAAATTTATGTATTTATGTATTTTTGGACAGTAGGGGTATTTTTGTCATTTTCAATTTTCTGTGGGGTCCAATGATAGGGTTTATTTTGTCTAGTTATAGATTGTTTATGTTTAAAATTTCAGAGTCATTGCATAAGTAGGATTAGAGTTATTGAGTTTTCTTTAAATTGAAATAGGATATAACAACTTAGTTTGAGTCCTACTAGGATTATTGAGTCTAACAGTTTGACTCCTAAGACTATTATGAGTCTAACAGTTTGACTCCTAGGATTAGTACGAGTTTAGAGTCTATAAATATGTATGGACATTTTACACAAAAGGCAATGAAGTTTATTGGGTTTTCTTCAGCTTATGCTAGCTATGGTGAGTGATTCCCATGCCCTAGAGTGATTCTAGGCACCTTGTGAGCAGTGATTTAAAAGGCGCGCCTAGGCGCACAGGCGAGGCGCATTTCAGGGTATGCGCCTCGCCTAGGTCCTAGGCACAGCCCTTTCAAAAGGCACATGCCTGGTGTGCCTAGGTGTGCACCTGATGCGCCTTGCGCCTCAGCCCAGGCGTGCACCTTTTGAAAACTTGACGCTTTTTTGCTTTTTTTGAACATAGCTGCTGGTCCGCCCCCGGACCCCCGTGCCACGCTCCTCGAGGCAAGCCCAAACAAGTTCACGTTAGGTCTTAAATTCTTAGTTTTCACACAAAAAATAATGATTTTATAGTTTTAATTGCTTTTTAAGAAGACATTTTATTAGGATGAATGAATGAACAACATTACCAAATTGGGGGTTCTTTAAGGGATCTTGCAAACAATAGGGGTAGGATTAGTGAATTTCCTAAAACTTAGAGGTAGTTTAAGAGATTTTCTCTTGAAAACAAGGAGAAATTTAGGAGGGGGTTTGGAGCAAGGGGAAGGCCTGTGACATGGCATGTGTATATATATATATATATATACACACGAGAAAGGTTTAGCTGAACGCTTTAGCCATTCAGCAGGCTGTGGAACCAATGATAAGGTTCCACACCAGTATTTAAATACATGGGCATGTGTCTTTCACAGTGGGCCCCATGAATTTATTTCTGGCATGGAACCTCGTCATTGGTTCCATAGCTCGCTGAACAGCTAAAGCGTTCAGCTAATCCGAATTCTATACACACTGCATTATAATTTCTCCAGCCTAACTTCCTAACTGTGACCTGGATAAGGTCTTTGTCTCTTCAAATGTTTGTTTTGTTGTATTACTTAAAAAGGGCAGCCCAGTGCACGAGGTTCCTGCCTATGCGGGGTCTGGGAAGGGACAGGTGTACATAGCCTTACAATGTACTGAGAGGCTGTTTCCAAGATTTGAGCCCTGGTCACCCAGGTTGCAATGGAGCAACCCAACCTTGTGCCAAGACCCACCCTCCTCTTAGTATCTCCCTCTTGCATTAATAAAATAGATATCCCCAAGTTTTTCATAGGCCATGTAATGTTGCTTTTGTTTCTATTTCTATTGTTTTTCAATGTTTTCTAGTTGCTACACCAAGAAGTAAGACAAACTAATTCGTAAAAAAGGGGATACAAGTTAAACTCACCAAGATTTCTTATATTAGAAATTATTACCTCTGCAACTTAGTGGGTTGAATAACTAGGAAATGTTCCACTTGGTCCTTTTATGAGAATCAAATTATTATTGAAGTGTAAATTAGTAACATATGAAATGTAATGTTGTCTTTAATGTACATTGGTACAAGAAGGGTCGTAGAGATTGCATGCTATTAATGTTATTTCTTTCATAATTGAAATATTAATTCATTAATCAAAAGATAGGTCTGTTACAAGTATACCAGATAGAGGCGCAAGGTGCAGCCTCACTTTTAAGAGAAGGTTACATCCAACCAAAAGAAAAAGGAAAACTGAAATAACCAACAATTACAGTGCAGCAGTGCAGCCCAGAACAGGTGATCCCTCTTAACCCCTTGTTTAGCAAAAGAATCAGCCATCTTGTTTACTGGCCTTTGTACCCAATGTTATTTTATAACTAGCAGGGGCCCGTGTGATGCACGGGAAAATCTGAAAGAGTTAATAATTTTATTTTTCATTTAATGCTGATTTATAAAAATAATTATTGTTAATTGAATATGAACAAATATTTTTTAATAAATTTAATTTTATTGATAATTTGTAGTAATTTTAATAATTTTTATTCTTTTTATTATTTTTAAATGAAATTTTGATTAACTTTAAATAAATAAAAATAATTATAAAAGCTAACATTTTTATTAATTCCACTAATAATTAGCAATTATATAGGAATGACAATGGGGTGGGTTCAGGGCAGGGCACCCCATCCCTTTCCTTGCCCATAGTCAAGACACTTTACCCCATCCCTGCCCTGTCCCTAGTGTCACGCGGGTTCAGGGCAAGGTAACCACTCCTCAATGTCGGGCAAGTTCAGGGGCAAGGCACCCCACTCCTCATCAAGGATGGAGAATCCTTGAATTTTCCTACCCCGTCCCAAGTATTGGGTGGGTTCAAGTTGAGGTGTAAATTGGGTTGTGCTGGGTTGACACGACATAACCCACACAAACTACGAGTTGTGCCATGCTGGCCCACGAGGCATCCCGGGCCGTGCCTCCCTCTAGGATAATTTGGGGGCTGGTTTGGCACGGTCCACGGCTTGAGCCCGCACGGGCTCGTGCCGTGCTGTGGGTTGGGCTGGGCCTTGGGCCAGGCCATGCCGCATACCAAGCCAAGCTCAAGGCAAGGCACCTGCTCCCCATTCAAGGTTTTTAAAATTGGATCGGATAGGGAACCGTTCTAGGGTCGAACGGTCCGATTGTTTGGTCCGAACGGATGACCCGCTCTGACAAAAAAATTAGAAAAACAAAAAAAGGACAAAAACTGTTGTCCAGGTTGATGGTTCGACCGCCCAAGTTAGCAGTTCGCTAACCAAATAAACAGTTTTTGGACAAAAAGCGGTTTTGAGGTGAAACGATGTCTGGTTCCCAATTTTTTCTGTCTAACCATTTGGTTTGATCTAGTTTTGAAAATACTGTCCCTGTCAACCCAATATTCAATTTGATGATAGAAATGATCAAAATGATATATTGAGTATCAACCACATGGTAAATTTCTATTATTGTTAATTGAAAGATTTAATAAATTTTCATTTAGTCGGATCTCAATTCCCATCCCCAACCTCGACCTCAATCGGGGATTCCTATTAATCCTCGTCCCCGCACCCACCCTACCAAAACAATCCCCACCCTTAGCCCCATTGGGTCAGGGAAGTCAGGTCCCCGTTGGGGATGGGGAAATTGTCATCCCTAAAAGTGTGTTCTAATAAATGACCCTAATAGAAACACATAAGAGTATACAATTGTTTTATATTTTTAACTTTTTAAATAATTAATAACTATTCATATTTTATATACTACTTTTAATAAATTTTTTATAATACAAAAATAACAATAATTAATTTCAGTTAGGTTTATTTATCAAACTAATGAAACCAACCGACCCAATTAACTCGACTCGAGTTGGTCGGTTTTCTAGTATTTTAGGTTGGCTTTGGTTAAAAAATTTCCCAATTCGACCAAGTTGGATTAGTTCCACTTTAGCCATTTGTAAACCAACCAAAATTGAACGACCTAACCATGGATATATATTAATATTTTATATTTTAAATATAATTTTTAATATGAAAAAGTAGGAATTATGTTTCTTACTCTAAAATGTTATATATCATAAATTTAATTTTTAAATTTATTATTTAGTAATCGCATTGTAATTTTTAAAATTAAATTAAAATTTTAAGTTTAAATCTTTTGAACAGACTAACCGAACCAAAAAATCGACCCAAACCAATACAACTTGAGTGGGTCTATTTTCACAAAAAGTTAGTCGGTTTCAACTAACCAACTCCCTAACCTGACCAGGTCGATTTGGTTGACCAAATAGCCTACGATCGCACTGAACCAACTCTTGAACACTCATAATTTCAGCTAAATTAATAGTCTTATCTCTAATAAATAACAATAGTTTATTCTCCAATAATTATTGAAAGTTTATAGCAAAAATACACAATTATTGAAAATATATATAATGAAAACTACAATAATTACAAAAATTACAAAAATACAATAAGTACTAAAAATATATTAACTTAGTCAATAAATGGTATAGTCTCAAATAATAGTTTAATCTCTACTAAATATTAATCAATAACTTATAACATAAACACAATAAATACAATAAGTACAATAAATTAAATTTAAAAATTTCAACAATAGTAATTTAATCTCCAATAATTATTGAAAATTTTCTATTAAATAACTAAACAAAATAAATTTGTACATACTTATTGGAAATACATTTTTCACAAAAGACAATAAATATTAATTTTAGTATATAAAATTATATAATAAATATAGATTAAGAGTTTAAAATTATTATTAATAAATATTATTTTTTTGAAAGTTATTTTCTTGAACTATTACTTGATATAACTGAAATTAATTATTTATAATATTATGTAAAAATATTAAATTATTATTAATTTCAATATTATGTTATATTTATTTTTTTACTTTTTAGTTTTTTTTAAATTTATTACATAATTTATTTATTTTAACTATTTAAAATCTAGTTATGTTAAATATTTTGTTATTTAAAATATCTAGTTATTTAAATACTTAAATAATATGCAAAATATTTAAATTTTAAAATATTAATTGTTTATTGAATTTAATTATCCATAAAATCATAATTTATACTATGATTACATAATTTCATTATTAAATTTGTAATATATTAAATTTATTATTAATTTAACTATTATGTTATAATTATTTTTCTACTGTAGAGAAATTTTTTAAATTTATTACATAATTTCGTTATTTTAACTATTTAAAATCTAGTTATGATAAATATTTAAATAATCTATAAAATATTTAAAATTTAGAAAAACAAAATATTATGAAATATTTAAATATTTAAAGCTATTACATATTATTAAATATTTAAAAAACATTTAAATTTATAATATAAAAAAACATAATTTAAATTGTTATTACATAATTTCGCGATATATTTTGTAAAAATATAAGATTATTTTTTGTGTTTTTAATAATTATTTTAAAGTTATTTTATAATTTTGTTAGAATATTTAAGTAATTCTTAATTTTTTTAATCTAAATTTTCTTTAGATAGATATAGATAAAAAGTAGGGGAGAGGATAAATAGGAATTAGAGATAATTTAGGAGAAAAACTCTCTACTGAATTAGATATAATTTTGGAGATAAATAGGAATTAGAGATAATTTAGAAGATAAATAAGAATTAGAGATAATTTTGGAGAAAGTGGAGGAGGTAGTTTAGGAGTAATTTTAGGAGAAGAGATTATTTAGGTTATTGAGAAAGTGCTTATAATTGGTTTAAAAAATGACATGGAATTAAAAAAAATAAAAAATTTTAAAAAAGGAGAAAATAGATAAATAGCTTCTCTCAAAGGAGAGACATGCTGACATGGCAGGACCAGTTTTAATATACATATATATATATGTATAGAGAGAGAGAGAGAGAGAGAGAGAGAGAGAGAGATTACATACTACTAAAAATTACAGCCATCTTGTTAACCCCTTGTTAGAGATTGCATACTATTAATGTTATTTTATGATTTATGAATTTTACCCACTATTGTTTTAGAAAATTTCAAGTCTTATGCCTTGGTCTCAAGGTTTATACTTGCTTCTTCAGGCCTAGCTCTTTCGTCCCCGTTTTGGTCTTTTAAAACTTTGTCCTGGACTAATTGTGAGCTATTAATATCAAAAGAATAAATACAAACTGGTTTTTTGGTTTGATCTTAGCTTTCTATTTGTTGATACAGGTTGAATCTTGTATAGAATTGCTAATGAGGGGTAGAAGCTATAGTTACAGCCCATCACCACCAAGGGGTTATGGAAGAAGAGGCCGGAGCCCTAGCCCTCGGGGTCGCTATAGTGGTCGTGGTAGAGATCTTCCTACTAGTCTTTTAGTTCGCAACCTTCGCCATGATTGCAGGTTTGTTTTTCCTTAATATTACTTTACTGATCCCTTTTTTTTGTGTAATTTTCGAAGAGGTTGGCTATTACAACAATTTTCTTTTGCTCTGATTTTTCCTCTGTGATCATGTTGTTGTGAATGCAATGGTTGTAGTGGAACAGTTCTACTCAAAATTTTCATCTTTTCATGTTATTAAAAGTTCGTATTTTTTGAGAGGAGTCAAAGCAATATGCTATACTGTAAAAGTGAGATTGTATAAAAGTAGGTCTTTGTAGTCTACAATGATAAGCTATACAACATGATCGACAGTTGATTCTGTGCGCAAAAGATGCTATGAGAGCTTGAAGATGGAGGGGTGAACTTCCCTGAAACTTTTATGATTAGAAATCCAGGAGATGAGCACTCCTAGGTTGATTGATCACCAAGTATTCTATGGCTTGATTTCAAGCCAAAGATTGCTCCAGGCCTTACAAAGGATTTCAAAAGGAATTGTTTCAGAGGTCACATTTCCTCACTTTCTGAACTTTTTTGTTGTCCAATTTTGGATCAGTACCACAATTGCAGAAGAAAATAAGCAAGTTATGCCCAACAACCCCGAAAAGTGGGTCCAAACAGAGGGATAATAGCAATCAATAAATGAGAGGCTAGCTACCTCTTTTTCAGGTAACATTAAATGCAGTTGTCATCTACATCCCATTCCCTGATGGTCAACTTGTCCTTAGCTAAATTCTTAAAGCAGCCTGTATAAAGAAAACAATATTTAAGGCTGCATGAGAATTCCACATTACAGTGATGGGTAAGAATGTGGGGACCTACTATACAGTTAATGGAAAAAATTAATTATCAAGAACTGATTAACCACACTCTAAGGTCCATCTCCCTTTTCTTTTTGGGGGGTGGGAAGTGTTGCTTCAGTGTAAGATTTGGAATAAATTCTACTTCTCAGTTGTTACTTCAGGTTCTATTTTCTAGTACTTCTGAGTGTTCACTTCTCAGTTGTTCAGTCACTTTAGAAAGGGTTGGAAACATATCATTTAGTGGGGACTGGTCATACCAATGGTCCTTCTAACAGCAAAATTTACCCCCATCTCTTATTTTGCACCCATGAAATTCGCTTTGTATGTTTCAATTGCATCTTTCTTTCTATCTAAGCCATGTATTTTAGCAGTTGATGTTACCTTAATTGTGTGGTTGCCCTTTAGTTTTTTGAATTATTCAGTTCTCTTCCATTTTCTTGTTTTATTTCTGCTAATGTTACAACATTCTCTTATTATTTTTATGCTTTTATCTTTATAGGTGCATCTTTCGCACATAGTGTAATTCCTTTTTCATTAATTATTGTTTTCTGATTGTTACAATATGCTTCATGAGGCTATTTGGTGGATGATGGACAGACATAATTTCATTTTTCAATTCTCAGCAAGTTTTTTTCCCTCCTCTCTTTTTGTAGTTATTAAAGGTGCAATGGATATTAGATCTGTAATCCGAAGCAGGGAATTGAAGACTATTCAGATATTACTATATTTTACTCAGTTTTCTTCCATATTTATGTCTTTCTGGAGTTTTGAATACATATCTAAATGAAACAGATCACAATTCTGTAAAAAATTTACATTGGATAATGGATTAAAACTCAAATTTTCTGGTTGTAACAAGAAAACTGCTCTCTTTCTTTAAATTGTCAGTCTAAAAGGCTTTGTTGTTTCATGTTTCTTTTGCCCATGATTTATCTACACCATAGTTGGTGTATTCATGTTCCTTGAAAAGCTTTTCTGAATTATTAAGTCTGAAAATTCACCATGTTCAACAAGAGTTATGTGTTATGTGAAAACAGATGGTAGCACATGATGCATATTGCAGAAAATTACTAGAAATAATGTAATAAATTGTTAAGTTATCAAAAATTGGGATTTATGTGAAATGTCTAATAACTTGGAATCAAGGTAGAATTGGTTTTGCATGATGTATTTTAGCTGCATTAAAAAATAATGATCTTTATTAGTTGTCTAAGTTTTGATATTTTATAGTATAATGAAACACGACTGCATTTGGAATGAAAGGGCAGCTTGAAACAACAAACATGTGCTTTTGTGGTATATTTGAATGCTTTGATTTGCTGAATCAGCTATGAGAACTGGAAGTGGATGATTATGATGGCAGAGGGTAGTTATCCATCAAAATGAATAATAGTAGTAGCAGCAGCATCAAGGAATAGTTAATGTATCATCCTTTCACAGTCGAGCTTTTCATAATGTTTCAATTTTTCAATATTTTTCTTTTTCAGTGATATTATGTAGCAAGGGTGCCAAATTCTGAAGTATCCATTTTCCTCTGGGCACACCAACCTCCTTATTCATGGGCTCATGGCATGGGAACACGGGATGTGGTATTGAATAATCATAAACTACATAAACAAGCTAATTATACTGTATGAAATAAGAAAAATAAATAGGCTTGGAAATTCAAAGTGTAAGCACCTTGTCAGATGTGTGCTTTTCTTCTCATTAACCATTGTCAATATTTAGCATTTTTGTAGTCTTGGCACAGCTAGAATTACTAATTTAAAGCATAGTCTAGTTAACATTATAAGCATATAGTTTAGGTGCATTGTGTTTTGCCATCTGATGTTATTTGCTAAACCACAGTCGTTTTGTGTTAGGTATTTAAAGCATAGTCTAGTTAACATTGTAAGCATATAGTTTAGATGTTATTTGCTAAACCACAGTCGTTTTGCTATCTAATGTTATTTGCTAAACCACAGTCCTTTTGTATTGGGTATATTTGCAAAGTTTATTGTTTAACTTTGTATTTATGTTTCTGACTTGTGCAGGCCAGAAGATCTACGTAGGCCATTTGGACAATTTGGTCCTCTTAAGGACATTTACTTGCCTCGAGATTATTATACTGGGTGAGATATTCCTGTTAAGTTACAATAACCCGAAGTAATTAGGAAGCTGTCAATTCTGGTCTAACATTTGTCTTTTCTTTCTATGCATCTATGTATATGACTATATGTACTGGGTCAAGTAGGGAGCGTCCCTACACAACCCCACCTACTTCTGCCATGTGGGAGAGATCCTGTGGCTGATAGACTCTCTATCATATAGAGAATCCACTGGATTGGCCAGTGGCCACATGTTCATTCTTCGGGTATACATCTGCCCCATACCTCCAACTTGTACAGGATTTTGGGTCTCAAAACAAGTCTTCATGTTGCCTTATCCTTGAGTTGAGGAAAAAGTTTCTGATGAAAATACATCGACACATGTTCTAGTTAATCTCACAGATTCTAATTTAAATACTGAAAAAATTAGAGGGATTTTATTCATCAAACAGGATTCCAATCCTAGTTTGGAATTGGGTTGATGTGGACTGTGGGATATAAGACATGGCCAATCCCCACAAGGTTACTCCACGTGGGTAAAATAGTGTAGTTTGTATATGAAGCTTCCTACTTCATCCACTAGGAAAATTTGAAAACCTTTATTATTATTTTTTTTTGGTTTTGGAAATATGCGTTCTAGTGAATGAAATTGGAGAGCCCATCTCCCTGCCCCTGCTTCCTGTTCTAAATTACTATTGTGATGATGAGGATTGTTCTTTATTCTTTTCTAGCCACTTGGATCTTTTTATTAAAGTTGTTGAGGTTTAACAGTTCAAATAAAGTTTTGAAGACATCAATCAAGTAATAAGAGTTCTGTTGAAGATATTAATGTTTGTGAAGATTGGAAGAGAGGTGGGTTTGATACATTTTGAAGATGTTCAAGTCTTGAAGAATTTGAAGTCATCTTAAAACTGACATTTGCAAGGTCAGCAGCCATGTGCTTGCTTTTACTTGAATTGTATAGAGTACCTTGTACTTGCATTTGATATTTCTTGGGATTACATTGGTGATTTCACCCATCATTTTTTTTACATGCACAGTTACTGCCACTATGCTATTTGGTGGTTATATAACCATTCTTTGTGATACTAAATTTGGCTATGTTGCAGGGAACCACGTGGCTTTGGTTTTGTCCAATATATGGACCCTGCTGATGCTGCAGAAGCCAAATATCAAATGGATGGACAAATTCTTCATGGAAGGGAGCTGACAGTTGTGTTTGCAGAGGAGAATAGAAAGAAACCAGCTGAAATGAGAGCAAGGGAAAGAGTGAGGTAAACTTGGTCTTTTGTTTTTAGGCCCTCATCATCTGTGATTAGGTCCTGGTTAGCATTCCTGTCTGTCATAACCTTAATATGCAATTCCGAATATGCTGTCTCATCAAAGATACTACTGAATAGTATATAATTACTTGTAAAAAATATTGTGCTAATTTATCAAAAAAAGTATTGCACTACAAAGTTTGCAGAATTTTCATAAAATATACTTTGCAAAAGAAAATTGTTGAAAATGAATTAGACATTGTCATCTTCCAATTTGTAGTGAATGCATTCATCTTCCATCATCATTTCTTTCACATCTTCCCATATCATTCTGGAGAGTTAATATGTTGACTGCATTCTAGGACCTCACTCAGACAGATATGAACTTTTAAGGGTAGTTTTATGTTTTTATTTTAAATTATTTGGAAGTTTGGGAGGTAGAGGCTATAGCAAGTTGTCTAGAGTGTTCCATGTCTGATTGGCCTTTAACCTACTTGGGTCTTCCGTTAGTAGCTAACCCAAAAGAAAGTCGGTTCTGGTATCCAATTGTGGAAAAGTTTGAAAAGAGGTTGGCTTCTTGGAAAAAAAGTTACGTTTCGGTAAGGGGTAGAGTGACCTTGATTTGGGCGAACTTTCTAGTCTTCCGGTTTATTTTCTTTTAGTATTCAAGATAACCTCAAGGGAAGCCAAGAAGCTAGAAAAGGTGATGAAGGATTTCTTATGGAAGCCAGGGGAAGAGAAGAATGATCATTTTTTTAGGTGGGAGATAGTCAGCAAGAGTAAGGAAGAAGGGGGATTAGGATTAGGAAACCTAGTTCTTAAGAATGAAGCTCTACTAGGGAACTGGCTTTGGAGATGGCCGTTGGAGAGAGAGAGGTTGTGGCACAAGGTGGTGAATAGTATTCATGGCTGTTCGCAGAACGGTTGGGATGCTGGGGTATCTTGACGAGTGACTTTTGCAACACCCTGGAAGGCTATACACGGAATCCTTCCCCATTTTCTCAATTTGATCAGGTATGATGTTAATTTTGGAAACAATGTTCTTTTTTGGGAAGACATTTGGGGGGTAGGCAACCAACCTCTTAAAGACCTTTTTCTCTCTCTTTACTCTCTTTCCCTTTATGGGGAAGAGCCGGTTTCCAGTTTTATTTCCTCAACTTCTTCTGTGGCCCTAAACTGGGATTTTGGTTTTCGTAGAGGGTTATGCGATGATGAAAGTGCTTGTTTCAGAATTGTTGTCTTTACTTGAGTCTGTTTGGATCCCCTCAAACTTGATACGAGAATTTGGACCCCTGAACCGAAAGGTTTTTTCACTTGCTCCTCTTTCTTCAAGTCCCTTTACTCCACTTCTGCACCACAAAACTTCCCATTTAAAGAATTCTGGACTAGTCCCATTCCCCCAAAGATTGCTGTTTTTTATTGGGAAGTTTATTATGGTAAGATTAATACCTTTGAAAACTTGCAAAAGAGGAGACCAAAATGGTGCTTATCCCCTAATTGGTGTGTTTTTTGTAAATCTCAGAATGAGGAATGCCACCACTTACTGATCTCTTGCTCATTTGCTACAACTTTATGGAATTGGAGTTTTATGTTGTTTGAGTGTAGGTGGAACCTGCCATCTGATACTACCTTACTGTTTAGTTTGTTTATCTTTGAATGACAACACAAAGAGAGGGAGAATTATGTGTAAGTGCATAAGAGAAGCTTTGTTGTGGACAGTTTGGGAAGAAAGGAACACCAGAATTTTTTGTGAAAAAGAAAAGAGCTTCTCATAAGTAAAAGAATGTATTCTGACAAGGGCAATTCAGTGGCTGGAAACTCTAAAGCTCTTTGATGCATACTCTTTTGATGACCTATGGAGAAGCTGGTTAGCAATGGCTAATACTTCTACCAGGAAGGACAGACGTGGTTGAATGGATGCCACCAGGGGAGGAGTTTATTAAGCTGAACTTTGATGGAAGTAACCGAGGAAATCCAGGACCTTCAGGCATAGGAGTGTTGAGAAACAAAGACAGTAGCATTATATCTTTGTACTTAGGTCCTGCAGGTGTGGGAGACTCTTTAAGGGCCTAATTACTTGCTGCTGTACAAGGAATCCAGCTTGCAAATCAGTTAGGCATAGAGCATCTGATTATTGAAGGGGATTCCTAGGTGATAGTGGGTTGGCTGAAGGATATGGGCACTGTGATATGGGGTTTTAGAGATCTTCTCAAAAATGTTAAATCACTAACAAGGAATATGACAATCAGAGTTCAGTGGGTAGGCAGATCAGCAAACTCAATGGCTGATTCACTTGCAAAACAGGGGGTTCTTTGGGCTACTTTATTTGGGCTTCTGTGTAATTTCTTTTGTACTTATAATTCTGCAACTAGTTTTAAAGGAAATGTTGCATCTGGTGCCTTTCCATGGGTTGCATGTAACTCTTATTTTCTGGTTTAATAAAACCTTACTCATTTATCCAAAAAAAAGGGGTAATTTTATGTTAGAAGGCTACTACAAACCATTCAAGAACTTCAGAAGAATCTTATCATGATGAAAACAGTGGTCCTCTGGGTACTGATTTGCTCTTTCCAGGGTCTAGATCTGCAACCACACTTAGTTCTAAACCAACCTGGCTTATAGGTTCGGAATCGTACTCTTCTATAAGTACCCATGACCATAAAACAACCAGAATCAACTTCTTGGTAGAAAAAACCACCACTACTGCCACTACTACTACAATGGCTGGGTGAGGGTGGGACTGTACAAACTATCAGGTAGTACACTCATCATCATCCTCCATGCCTTATCCCCAACTATATGGGGTTGGCTGCAGGAATCATGTTTCGCCAATCCGTTCTATTTAAAGGCATATCCACTGTTAAATTATTAATGCTTAAATCATTTCTTACTATGTCTCCCATGTCCTTTTTGGTCTACCCTGAGCTCTTCTAGCCCCTTCAATTTGTAACAAATCACTTCTTCTATCAGATAATACACTAATACCAATAATAAAGTTTGTTGGGTAGTGTTAAGTGGAGCTGTAAATGGGATAATGATGCTAGACGAATGGAACATGGATAAAATCATGAAAACTCTTTTCTAGCGATCAAAAGTGAGGTTGTTATTAATAGGATAGTGATGCTAAACCTGGGAGTGGAAGCCCCCAGGTTTCAACAAAGTCAAGCTGATGGGAGCTAAACCTGGGACTGGCAGGAATTGGTGGTGTGATCATAGACTCCTCAAGCGAAGTATTGGCTATGCATTCAGGACAGTATAAAGAGCCATAAATTTGATCTTATTTGAAATCTGTGATTAAAAGAACAAAAGGAAAAGTTTGTGTAGAGAAGAGAAGAAGAGAAAGGTTGAAGAGAATGGGGAGAAGCCAAACAGCTAATCTGGCCGCCCCTTTCTTTATCTTATATACTATAATTAAAATTGAATACAATGACAAGTATAGCCTTAGTAAGTTGGCTATTACTAAAAACATAAGTGTTGTAAGGCTTATTTGATTGTTACTTTATAGCTGCTGTTAGTAGGCTGACTTCTTAGGATACTGTCAGTTATTTACTTGTCTTTTTCCTTATTATTTTTAGTTCTAGGGTGAGCCGCCAGGGGCATACTTGTAATTTCTATTCCTTTATTAAAGTAATACAACCAGTATGAACTTTTTCTCTCAATCGTACCTCTTCTTCTCTTTCTCTCTCTCTCTCTCTCTCTCTCCCCCTCTCCATCAATCATTACATGGTATCAGAGCATGTTTCTGGGCTGTAAAAGACCTATGATCCCTCCTGTTTTGAGCAAGGTCTCCTTTTTTAAAAGTTTTGGACGTGGAAGATAGGGAAACCCTACTAGATTTTTGGCGGAAACCCTAGCAGTTTTCTGGTGGCAGTTTTCTGTGGTTTTTTCCTTGGTCGTAATACCAAGAAAACCCTAGTCGGAGAAGGGTGATGCTGGTACAGAATCCCTTCCTCTGTTCGATGCTGTGAAGTCAAGTTCAGGTTAGCACCTTCGTACAAGTGTGAACAGGTGTGTTTTTTTGTTTTAGTCTTCTTTGGCCGATGGTGTGTAGGGCTCATTCCTTGGTTATATAGGTATTTGTTTGGATGTTGGATGGTTAAACTGTATGAACTACAGTCAGACTGATAGTAATGTCTGTCTTATTGGCGTTGAACTGATTACCGGGCTGGTTTAACGACTGGTTGTGTTGATTGAACCTTCTCAGAGTTGTTTTTAGCTGTGTTTTGTTCTCTTGCTCACATCCTAGAAGTAAATTCCTTGAGGGTTGGTATTCTGATTGTGGCTGCAGTGTAGTTGGGTGGTGTTTGGATTGGTTTTCAGTAGTATCCGATGGCAATTTATGAATCAGCTTCATCGGGGGCTACACCAACCCGCAACACAGCGGGTATGGGAGGTGAAAACATGGTTTTTCCCATGCCAATTATCCCTTTAAACGGTCTGAACTACCTGGAGTGGTCTAAGAGCGTAAAACTCTATGTAACGGAAAGGGGTAAAGCTGGTTACATTAATGGAAGGGTGAAAGAACCCAAGGGTGAGATGGCTGAACATGATAGGTGGGACCAAGAAAACAGTATGGTGATGTCTTGGCTCCTYGCAGCCATGRAACCTRATGTGAAGAAGAACTTTATGTGGGCAGACACCGCTAATGAGATTTGGGAACAGGCCAGAACTACCTATTATGAGTAGAGGCATTATCCCAAGGTTTACCAGTTACAAGCTGAATCCTCAACATGTAAATAGGGAAACCGTAGTTTGTCTTCATATTATTCAGCCCTTGCCTCTATATGGAAAGAATTGGATCATTATCAGGCTATAGAGTGGAAACATGATGATGATGCTAAGGCCTAYAGGAAGCTGGTCTCTCAGCAACGTGTGCTTGCTTTTTTGTTGGGACTGAACCCTACATATGAACCGTTGAGGGTATAGATCCTAGGAAGCAAAGAGTTGCCTACGGTTCACGAGGTATACTCCCTTGTTCAATCGGAAGAAAGCAGGCAGAATGTAATGGTTAC